TAGCACAAAGAGTTGAACTACAGTATAAAATACACCTTAGAATCCTGCTTGCCCCTTTGACAGTGCAGCGTGCAGTTGTTCTTGCAGTCTGGTTGCAAGTACCTTCTTGCAGATCTTGTAAATAATCGGACTGAACAGACTGTAGTTCAGTTCATTCAATCCTTTGCCTCCCTTTTTTGGCCTGAAATCACGGATAAGGTAGTCTATCTAGTTGTCTGGAATTTTCAGTTCAGGTAGTTAGGTTCAGCAGGGGACACTGTCACAGTTGAAGCTGAAACTCTCTTTGGACCCGCACTATAAGGGAAGCAACGGTGGAAGAAAAATTAACTGACTGAAAGCGGTGATGGACACTGCGCATGATCGAGTGCTGCAAAGCATTCGGAATATCACTGGAAGATGCTAAATCAGTTATGACGATACGACATTGGTAACAACAATAACAACTGCAGTCAGAATTCAGCCACAATCACGCGATTACCGAACAAGCACTACGCCTGAGCGAGTGTCGAGTGATGATATTTGGAACTGATTCGGATGTGGCCCAATGGTTTCCGGTCTTCTATAGGGACCATGTTATATCATGAATGTGCGTGTGATTACAGTAAGATCTGACAACGGCAGTCATCTGGCTGAAAAACAGGTCTTCACAACGTGACACTGTGATTAAAGAAATTTTTGACAGCTGACTATAAGCAATCACAGAAACTGTCTTTGTTGTCACTCTAGGTACATACGCTCTTCAACAACGAGACGTAAACAACAATGAGATTCATTTTTACGTGCTTGAATTTGGGGTAAGAAACAACGTCCCATCCAACAGCTCGTCTGATAGAAATAATGGCATGCTGTACATTTTTACCGCACAAAAAAATACTTAAACCGACTACATGTAACGTGCTGTCGGCTGACATAAAAATGTGATCTCCATTCTCATGTTGCCTTAAAACTATGACAGCTTCAGTGACTGCCACAGGATCAAATATAAATTAACGAGTGTATTTTACTGTCAGAATATATGTAACATGGCTATGTGTTTAAGCACATAATAAAATAACGAAACGAACAGGAAATTGGTGTCGCGGATAAGAAACGAATGTCGCAATATGGAATATTAATCCTACCTTTCATAATGTAGAACAATCGTATTACTGACTGCGTACTTCAAAATTTTGCAGTCAACTGTGTAGGGGCACAATCTGTAGCGCAACTCATCATAATAAACTAGTAGCATGAATTTTTGATGTTGCTCGCTAGGAATGTCAGACAATATCTCCAACGTCATCGATCCTGTTCCATCGTTTCAGCTTCCGTAGAAAATAACCCGAGTCTAGAGCAAAATCTATAGAGACAATCGCCCCATATTACTCTTTTGCCTTCTCCGGATTATTCAGCAATCGGTTGCGCAAGAAGCAACTGTTTCGCCTTTCCTTCTCAATGCATTCACAAGATGTGCCTAAACTATCGTTCCTGTGACTTCTCAATCGAGAAAAACAGCGTTTGCACATCAAGACTAGTAATTCGTCACAAAAAGCATATTTCATTCGCCTGTACCTCTGATCAATATTCAATTATGTCCAATGACTCAAGACAGCAGGTGAGCATCGGGATGAATATCCACCTCAACACACCAATAACTTAGATCAAACACTCAGCTCTGCTTTCCTCACAACGGATTTGGCTAATTCACACAGAACATCGCTGGCTATTCCAATTCGTCAATCGATATCTTCTTCCAATTTCTCGTCACGGTGTAAGCATATCCCTGAAAAACGTAAGTTTCTTCACTGCTCATCCGTTTGTAGATCTCAGCGGAGAGCAGTACATGGCTTTTGGT